TGGCGACTCTGAAATAAATAAACAAATCCCGTTTCGACTGTCCTTTAATTGGAAAAAACCCCTACGCACCCTCGCGGGGGCGGAAAAAGGAGGTGTGACACCAAGCAACATCACTGGAGAAGAAATGGCAAACATGGTAGGGCAGGTATTGAAAAGTCACAAGATTACTTTTCATGAAGATGAGCTGCCACCAGAAGGGTTAAGTCACAACAAAGTGTTGCACACCCTCCAAAGAAAACTCTTCAGGGCGTGGCTCCGCTGTCGGTTCCTCGCTGGCCGCCCGTGACGATAAAGCAGCCTCCTTTTGTGGAACGGTTTTTATAAAAAATAATAAAATGATTTTCAAAAATATTTCGTGTACTAAAATGATTAGAAATAGTCATTTAACATTTTAAAAATATAAAAGACCATTTTATGTATTAATAACATAATTATGCACTAATAGGGCTAGTATTGCAAATATATGCAAATTAACTTAAAAAATATAAATACAATTATTAAAATTTTCCTTATTAGAAGTTGGTAATATACCAGATTTGTAAAAGGAAAAAATTAACACGATAGTTTTCCTTATTACAGTACTTCACATTAGTTTTCCTGTTAGGAAACTTTGGAGTACTTTCAGCTTCTTTTAGGTTTAGGAGTTTTTTGTTTGTTATTAAATTTTAACCAATTAATTATTTATAAATAAAACTTTCAACCACTTTCAACTCAAATTATCATTTTTGGTTTAGAATTCATAATTAATATAACAATTGCGCTGGATTTTGTTAGCTATACTCATGTACTATCATGGTTGAATTCACCACTCAACCTTGATAATAGGACCAACGTAGGTTACAAAGTCTATTGTTTTTACATTCCTTAAGACATCATGACATTGTTTTGTTTTACTTTCTATATATATAAAAACTAGCCCTAGGCCCTGCCTATGCGAACTGTTGGGGATAACATTTTTCAAAAATATGTTAGCTTACTCCTTCAAAGACTACTTTCGAAGTGTGAGTTCTGGTTGAGTTCAGTTGCATTCTTGGGTCATGTTGTATCAACGGAGGGTATTCAGGTAGATTCGAAGAAGATTGAGGCAGTTAAGAACTGGCCTAGACTAGCATCAGCTACAAAGATAGAAAGGAGTAGGCCATATACTACCTGAATAAGAAGTTCACACCTTATGAAGCACGGTACTCTCTGTTGGAACGCACTTACTGTTCGTACTTCAGTAGGTGCAACTCCTTATTCGTTGGTATATGAAACTGAAGCAGTAATACCAGTAGAGGTTGAAATCACGTCCCTCCGGATTGTCGATCTTATTCTCTTCTAATTTTCTTGCAATTTTTCCATTATGAATATTTTCGTAGTTTATTCTTACGTTGTCATGAGTAGCTAAATACTCTAATCTAAGGTTTTGGTGAAACCCTTGGGGATGAACTTGGTTGTTATATTAATATAGTTTAAATTGGTTGTTAATCTCTATTTGTTCATCTACGTTTTGATTGTGGTTAGTTGAAAGGGCCCTCAATTATCCGTTCCTATTTATTATGTATCTTCTTGAGAGAGAGTGCATATTTAGGTAGTTATTTGAACAACATCACTCCCGGAGTATAGACGAGAGTCATAACCGAGGGTTTAGAGCTTGGATTAGAGATAACGATATCTCGGGTGCAATCTAAAAGAACGGTAATGTGAATCTAGCTAGCGTAGCTTGAGAGAGTGCGTCTAGTAAATTATCATAATTGCTTGAGAGAGATTTATGATAGCCGGAGAGTTCTTGATTGATAGAGACAACTAAGGCAACGCTATAAGAAACGTACAACCAAGGAAATCACCAATGGGAGAAACCATTACCTTAGACCTTATTCCAACTGTTTACACATCAAGCATAGTTAATTTTCAGCTGTTAATTATTTTTAGACTTTAGTTGTTAGAAATATCATCAATTGTGAATTACAAAGTTTGGGGAAAATTGATTCTGTGAATTTAGTAAATCAGTCAAAAGTAATTGATAGGTTAATTCTCTGTGGTTCGACTCTGGGCAAAAGTACTCAGATTATATTTGCTATGTCCGTGTGTGTCTTTGTATAAGGCATAGTTTGGCGTTATCAATAATCTATGTATGTATAACCGTGGCAATGAATGCTCCAAACCCCTTATTTCAGTTGTATCAGTTGGAAATAATTAAAATAAATAAATTTAAAATTAGCCCCACAGTAAATTACAACATGCTAATATATCACTGTACATAAATTACTGTACATATATCACTGTACATAAATTCAGTGCCCACAAGAGGGAAAGAAAAAAGAAAAACTCAGTTGAACAACCATATATCACTGTACATAAATTACAACATGCTAATCTCTCTCCATCTTTTTCCATAGATCTTGTATCTTTAGGAACCAATGTCACTGAATTATTGCAAAAGAAATCCCTCTAACTATAACACAATTTACTAACCATTGCATGCATGTAGGCGACCCTCTCTACCTTCATTAGGTAGGGGTCGTACACACTACCCTTCCCATATTCCACTTGTGGGAATATACTGCATATGTTGTTGTTGTTGCATGCATGTAGGTGACAGATCGACATCGTCTCTAGATTTCTGCTGAAAAAGAAGAAGAATACTTTTGTGATTTATGTGTCAAGTAAATAAGGGAGCAATCTATAATGTAATGATGATCATACATACAAGCTCCACTCGCCAATTTCAAGAAGCGGCGTTCTTCTCTTCTTCGAGTATGGCAGCCTCTCTAAGTGCGACTAGTGCCTCGTTTTCCCTCCCCAATGTGAAAAGAGAAGCAGCTTGCAAATACGATGTGATATGCCAAACAGGAGATATTACCTGTGCTTGTACTGCATCGTTGAGGGCTTCTTGTGGCATATCACTCATGAGATAAGACAGACTCCGATGAGCGTACACAGTTGGTGAAACCATGGTTCCAACTTCAATAAACTGCAAGACCAACCCAAAGTAATTAAATAAAGATATAAGTTCAAAAATAGATAATCCACATTATATGGTACGATGTAGCATAAACATTATGGCGGATTCCAACCTTCGTATAGCATTCAATGGCAGCTCTAAAATCTTTGTTCTTGAAAGCAGCATCACCCTTTTTCTTTGAGTTCAATGTTTCCAGCATCTGATCTGTCCACATCTGAAATGAAAGCTGCAAGCAAGAAAAAAAGTATGGGTTCGCTTTCGAAAACATATAAGCTTGGATATGATCACAATATGAATGATCAACAAGTTGAAACACACGAATCACATGCATGGCGGAGCCAGGATTTGAAGTATGGGTTCGGGATTCTAATCCCTTTAAGTTAATGGGTTCTGAATTAATAATTTATAAATATTTAGTGGATTTTTTAAGATAAATATAGTTTGAACCAAAGTGTAGCCCGACACTCTAGCTCCTCCCGTAGCCCGACACTCTAGCTCCTCCCCAAAGCTACTGGGTTCTGAATTAATAATTTATGTTATCATGCTCAAGTGCACTATATTAAGAAACGGCTTTAGTTCTATAGAATGGGAACAAGTTACAGTAGTTCAGAAAACATGCATTTACAAGACCAGAACATCAGCTCCAAGAATAATAATTGATAGACAAACCTCAGTAGCTGCTCCGTCATCATCTTTGTACCCAAGCGTGTCTAAAATCTCATGGATGGCAGTCAAGTCGGTTTTCAAACAAGCTTCACCAAGTGGAGACAGAGACATAGTTTCGCCATCACGTGATATACCCATCAATACATGAGAGGGAACCTGAAAAACAATTTACTAAAACTTCAATCCAGCTAAATTTTGTCATGTAATAGTCTAATAGATGATTTAAGTCATCTTACTATCAGCCGATGTAGATAAGTGAAATCAAGTTTATGGAAATTAAATGTAATCTAGATGCTTCTCACCAAATTTTAGTTATTGCTTTCACTAATTTTGGATAACTACCGTATTATAGAAGTATTTAGGAAAAAGATATTGCTGGAAGAAAAATGCGTAGGCACAACGCATATAAGGAAGGCACAAACCTCAGCTTCTTTTTGAAGAGGATATAATGCAGCAACTAAGGACTTGAAATCCGGCCGCTCAGGCTCGTATTGAAGACATATTGAAGCAATCCGCACCAATTCAGTTCCGTCATCTGTAGAAAATTGACCTTCCAAGCAAGAATCAGTTAGCATCTCAAGATTCCGGTCTTTTATGAGATCCAGTGCCTGACATAAGCAGATACATATTAGAAGGAACAAGAGCACCGAAAATAATTGTGTTAATTCATGAATGCTTGTATTTTGATAACCATCTTTCATCCTCAGTAATTATTTGATATATTTCACCTAAACTCTTGAAAAATATAAATCACAATATCTTCGGTTTCAGTACACATCTTAAGTAAGATGGAAGCCACCCCAGCCTTTTTAAATTTGATGTCCGATTTTAACAATTTTGCCAAGATTTTGTAGCACACTTATCGTCATGTTTTCTCGTCACGATTAAGTGTGAGCAATATGGTTGTAGGGGTCACTTAATTAAGAAATAAATAAATAAATTTAGCAGGAAAACCATACATGGCTAGGAGGGATGTGTTTTCCACTGAGAAGGTCAAGCAAAAGTGTCCCGAAGCTAAATATCACACTCTCCTGGGTGATTATTCCTACAAAAGTTCAAATAACTGAGTGAACTATAACAAGTTCAATAATTCAAGAAAGGAAAAATGTAATTAACACCATGAATTCAATGAACCCTCCACACTGAATGGATCGCAACAAGGTACACGAACACCATAATGGTCAAAGTGGATCCTTTTTTTTAATAAGTGAAAGTAGCTCATACGAAACATTCCCCTTAATCTTGTAAATAGAAAAGTGTTAACAACTAAAGTGTTACAAAAGCAGAACATCAAGTAGCTCAGCTGGCTGTGGTTGTTTAGAGTGTGAATCATTAGACATGAAAGAACAACTGTGCCTTAAGATAGCCGCGTTTGTTTATTAAGGTAGCTCTTACCCATTCTCAAATATTCAGGAGATGCCAAGTTTGTGCTATAACTTTTTCCATCTCGACTGTTCTTCATCAAAGCAAAACAAGAGAGTCGGGGATCACCATCCTGTGAAATATTCAGAGGAGACCGTAATAGGCATTTGAGTACTTGAATTGTGAAACAAACAATGAAAAGAATGAAGATGTAACAATCAACTTACTTCATCGAAAAATATTCTATAAGCATTAAGATCATGATAAAGAGCAAGCCCTTTGCCTGTAACATGATAAAGAGCACGCCCTGCTCTTGTACAAAACTCAAGAGCCTGTGCAATATACAAGGCCACCCTTAACCGCATTGCCCACTTCATTGGTTGTGTGTCCCCTGAGTTAAGCTCTCACAGATGAGTCGATTGAATTTCATTAATCATTATCGAAGAATATGTTATCTTTTGAAGGAAATTCATGACTTTTCAGTCTTCCTTAAAGCAATTAAATCAAATAGGTATCCCATCATCAAATCTCATTTTCCACTTGCCATAATTTCTCTCTACGTGAAGTTTGGATAAAGCTCATGGTCAGGTTCTACTCTTCAAATTCTTCACAATTACTAACCATGCGAAAAAGTAAAAAAATGGAGAAAAAAAAGGAAAGATACCAAGTTTAACTTTTCCAAATTGATTAACCTCATCTGTTTCTTTGATTTCATTATCATAGTCATTGCTTCCTACTCTCTCTTCTTCCCTCTCTTCTTAAACTAACCCTAGCGGAAAGAGAAAGCAACAGCAATAGCAGACTAGCAATGGCAGTGAATTGGTCTGTGAGCATTTGAATTTGCGGTTAAACAAGAAAAGTGATGATTCTTGTGGACTGTATAAGGAACTCCATGTATGGACATGCAAGCAAGCAAACAAAATCTCGCTTCAGAATCTAAGCAAATATACCTGAGAACAAAATTAGAAACCAAAGGGTAACTCTTTTATAAAGTAAAAGAAATGGGAAGTGGTGTCTGGGCCCAGCTTGTGCGCATCTCAACTATTCCACCGGGTGCCTGCTACCTCCCACCAACACAGGTGCCAAGGTACAAGATAATTGTGCCCACTAAGGCTCACCTAGTATTTTTGGCATGCGCTGGGGTTTGAACCTGAGACCTCACGTTCTCCTCCCATTCATTGACCACTAGACCACACCCTTGTGTGCAAATAGTAAGTCATTCTCTATGATGGATACTAACAGAGAAAACCATAAAAAGGAAACAGTAAGTCAGTCTCTAAAACAGAACAGTGCATGAACCGAAGGCTTTGTTTGGGAATTTCAGAACAAGGTCACATATTGGATCTGCTCTTTTTGTCTGGCTAGAATTGAAAAAGAAAGTCGAGGTGCAGTCTCATCCCGCTTGAAGTTATCAGTTAAGCCAAAAATCCCTTCAAAAATTAGTTCAGCAAATCTAGTATTCAACTATATATCAAACATATTATCAGTACACAAAATATGTTTTACCAAAGAACAAGTGGAGAAAGTAAAAAAATCAAAAGAAATGGTGATACATGTTTATGAGCATGTTTCTCCGTGAGCGAAATAAATCTGAATTTGTTTCACTCCCAGCCCCCCCCCAG